ATGAAAAACCTTTTAAAATAATTTTCAATGTTATAAATTGCATTAAAACGTGTCAGCGTGAACAGCTGAACAAATTTTCACAACATTTCTAACATGCAAACTGCCGTGTGAACATTTTTTGATCATCTCTGTTTTGTAATTTAACAGGGGGGAATGGAAAAGAGCCGAAAATACATTAGTTACGGCTTTGGTTTCTCTCGCTATGAATTGTCAAATGATCTATGGCTCTTTTCCAACTTCCACTCACGTTTCGAGTTTTAAATTTCCTTAGTTCTTTTACAAGTCATTATGGTATAAGCCCGTGATGATTAAACATAGAGAATGAAGGGCAACAATGGTCACGAAAATTGGTTTGTTTAGCATGACAGTTTTAAATGCATTATGACGAGATTAAAGAGTACTTCAAACTTGAAATTCAAGAGTGGGGGAGCCAAGCTCTCAAAAAAAAAGCTGAGAAATTGCATCGTAAAAGTAAAAAAATAAAGCACCATTCCTTTATGAGTCATGCACAAACAATTCAGTTCACTCTGTCAATAAATTTTTTCACATAAATATCTAGTTTTAAGAGGGCTTGAACTCTATTTTTTTGATCTACGAACCATTTTGAAATGAAAATCACTTCTTTTGAAAGTTGACAAAAATGCACGTGTATGTTTTAATTGCCATCTGCATCGCTGTAACTCAAGTGCAAACAGCTGCGGTGGAGGAGAGGGGTCCTAAGAAATGCGAGGATTACAGTGACTGCCCCCCTGGACAATTCTGCTCCATGATTGATTCCTTATGTGCTAGGAAACCATGTACAATGGCGGATGGCCCTTACCATTGTGGTGAAGGAGCAACCTGCAATATATATTTGCTCGAATGCTATCCTAATTGAGATAATTGAAGATTGCACAAAACTAAACGACATGAACTAATTGACGTAAACCAAGAACAAAAATTAGAAAATTAAGCAAAAATAAACGTAATAACCAAAAGTAAACAACTAAAATGAAGCAAAAACAATGTTTTGTTTTAAATTTGGGTTCTTCCTTTTATATTTGGCTTTTAACCTTTTTCCAAACAACCCTCTTCGCAAATTTCTCACTTTAACTAATACTACATTTGCTTGATAATCTGGTGGCTACTAGTTTTTAAAAACAACAAAAAAATTTTTTCTGCTGAGTAAGTTTATACAGATGATTGGCTACGTAGCAAAAAATAGACAGAACGTAAAATACACACGTCGCAAGCCAATCAGAATCGATAAAGGAAAAAATTAGGTGCACTTTTTTCCTAACTCTATTCCGATTGGCTTAGGACTTGTCTAGCTTATGGCATGTCTCTTTCTTGGCCGCACTCCAGATGATGTTATATTAGTAGTTATTGCTTAAAGTTAGAAAATAAAACTAATTTTTTGTTTTTAATTTCTCTAATTGAGGTACTTTTTTTCCAGAATATTTGTTATTCATACCCTACAATTTTTCATTGCCTGTTTAGTCAAAATCACACGAAGAACAACTATAAAAAGTAGAAATTTTGAAAGGTGGGTAGAAATGAGCCAGATTAGCTTTTGCTTGCTAAAAATGCCTAAAACTGATTAATCTTTTTGAAGACTTTGTCTGTCCCATTTTTTTTGCATCTCTTCAACGGCACGCAATTTTTTTTCAATGAAGTCAATTGTTTTTTCCGACAAGCGCAAAGTCACTGGTGTCGTCAACAACTTCGGACCGACAAGATTCACTAGAAAGAGGAATTTTTCCATTTTGAATGACAACGCAACTTTGTTTCAAACAACTATAGCACATGAATTCAATATGAGAAAACAGTTTCTAGAATAGTTTTTTGGATAAACAAAAATGCATAGTCAGTCAGAATAGAAAAATTGCTCTTTCCAATAAATTTAGTCTGTCCGAATTTGTTGACGACATCGGTGAATTTGCGCTTTATCGGAAACCTCTTACAAAGTTGCTTTGCTTTGCTTGTGACCTTGAGTCTTGAACATGGACTGATTTCCAGCATTGCGCGTGAGACAGTCTGAAGAGCAAAGTAAATTGATTGCGCTTTTTCAGAGACGCTCAAAAAGGGCCGAAGCATCAAAATAATTTTCATTCAACAAACTTTTGCCACAATTCTTTACATTAAAAAAACTGAGAAATTAATGGCAAAATCGATGTTCTTGTGTTTGTAAATGGCCAAAAATCTGTGCCTTTTTAGATGAAGTTTTTCATATGATGCTCAAGTTCTGAAATGAGTGAAAATTGATGGGCGACCAAGATAATTATCTGGGTCTTTCCCATTATTGACTCCAGTCGTCTAACAAAAAGCTTGTAGCTAGCACCCAGCAGTGAAATTTGTTTCTGGGTATGTAATTTCTCGGAGGAGGTAGGCTATGATGCTAAAGACCCAATTAGCTTGTTAAAGTTGTTGAGCGAATAGGGAATGGGGCTCTTTTCCAGTCCCCCTTGATGTGTTCTGAAATTCAAAAAATATAAGTCTATTAAAAAATTCCTTTGTTATAAGTTGCATCAAAATGTGTCAGCATGAACAGGTGAACAACCCTTACAACATTTCAAACAGGCAAAAAGAAGTGTGAACAATTTTTGAACAGCTTAATTTTGCAATCTTACGCGAGGGGTGGGAAACTGGAAAAGAGTCGGATAAGGTCATTAATTTGGTTTTAACTATATCTCAAAAACTTGAAAAACTGTTCAAGAATATTGCTTAAACTATATTCGGTTAAGGCTCTTCTGCACTTTCCCCCTTCATTTATATTTAAAAAAATTTCAACATATTATTATGGCTACATGCGTGCAGTTAAGATAAAAAGTATGAAAAAGAATAAAGATCAAAGTTGATAGTTCAATCAGCAATGCAAGTTCCAGTGCACTTTGACGGTGTTAAAATAGTTTCTAAATTTTGAAAATCAAACGTGAGAGAAAAAGCAAAAAAACCGCGGTCAAAAAAAGCTGTTTTCTGGGTAATTAGGCTTTAACGTTTTTTTTTAACTTAAATTACTAAACAGTCCTAGGCAAACCCGTACACAGGGCGTTTTCTGTGCAAGATCTGAAGTTCTGTATTTCTAACAGATGTTGGTTCTTAGATCGGAAATTCTTTTTTTTTCAGATCTTGACAATAATTTGAAAACTTCAGGTCTGAAGTTTGTATCTGAAATAATCTTGAAAAACAAAATTTCAAATCCGAAATCAGATCTGAGAAACTCTTTGTTAATTTTGTTAAATTTTTGAGCAAACAAATAAGTTTTTCGAATGAAATGTTTTAATCAACTCTGTTAAAAGCTATCAAAATCAGAAATATGAAAACAGAAGCTATCAAAATCAAAAATAGCAATAGTTGAGCCAGAATCATTGTTTTTTTTAGATCTAAAATAACCAAGAAAAATAAATTTTCAGATCTGAAGTTTGATCTGAAATAACCGATACCTTAAGTATCCAAGCGTTATTTTAACACTTCACAGCCTTTTTCGGATCTGAAGTTTAGATCTGAAAAAGATTCTTTCAGATCTGAATTAGAACATTTAATAGGTACGGGAAGTCAGTGTGCATAATCTGAGCAAATTCTTGAACAAAATGACACGTATGGGTAAAAAGTAACTTAAATGATGAAAGACACCGATCTGAGATGAGATAAAATTCAATGAAAAAAACTATGCTATAAAAAGAAATAACCGTACTCGAAGCCAGAAATTCATTTTTAAAAACTTTGAAATAATTTTTTTTAAGCAATTTTTAATGGACATTGAGAAACAGTACGTTTTTTTTTTAAAAAAGACAACATATTTTTGATGACCCAAAGTTTTCAAAACTATTTGATGTATTCTATGCTGTGCACGGAATTTAGAACATGGTCCTCCGTTTCTGAATACGGATTATTTGGTCCCCATTGTCTGAAACGGCATTTTTGTCAGTCCCCTTAGTTTTGAGGTAGGTTCCATAGTGTCCTTTTCATAAAGTAATTTCGGATAGAGTACACCGTCTCTTTGTCACGCTGTCTATTTTTGGCTGGATATGTTCGTGTAACTCCTTAGTACAATACTAACCCCTGTCTTACTCTTTTATTTCTTAGTCTTAATAGATCTAGCAACATGCTGATTTATTGCTCTAGGGGAGAGAAGAAAAACATCTTGTTTCAATCTTTATTCTTTTTCCTCTAAGCCGCCAGGTTTTCAGTTTGACAAATATTAAATAAATTTTAGTCATGGATCATGATTGGTTAGTATTAATATTTTACAATGAAGTATTTTTAAAGTATGAAACAAAAAAACTAGTTTTAAACTGGTTCAGTATCAACCCCAAAGCTCAAAACTCAGTTCCGCAACCCACTCTCAGAAAAAATTGATCACCATAGTCGAAACTTAGATTTTTTGGATTTTTTTGGGTCCCAGCGGTTGGAATCCTAAGTTTTGATGGTTCCTGTGGCCCGAACATTTTTGTTTAGTCCCCGCCATTTGCTTGCTTTTTGTTATTCCATAAAGTCTGAAACCGGTCGGTAATTGTGATTATTTGAAACTTTGAAAATTTTTAGCGAACTCACAAAATCAACCCCATAGGATGAAGCCCAAAAAAGCTACGTGAATTCAAAAAAACCAGCTAACTGGCCTTTTTGGTGTTATTCCAAGATTTGATTTGTTTGGAAAACTTTTTAATATAATAAACAAAATGTTTCCTTCATGAAAACCAATTTTTGATTATTACACGACTGGAAAATATCCAAAACTTGATATGATCTCAAAAACTAAAATTTAGTTTGTTCTCTTCCATAATGAAGAATACATCAGCAGACGTACCAAATAAAAGGACCAGTGGTACTTTGTCGTGACGTTCCGACTGCTAAGGGTCATCATGATTCTGGCCATAATTACAAAACAATGCTCAAGCCAGTCTTATTTCAAAAACAAAGTACCATTTATCCTTCATATAAACACCTGTACTAAAATGTTTTGTTTTGGTATACGTTTTTGTATAATAAAAATACACGTGCCAAAAATCGTTCAAAACGTGTTCATATTTAGTTGAACGATGAACGTTTGAGTATTTACAGACTATATGTTTTTTAATAACGATTTATTTTATATCATAGTTTAACAGAAATATACTTATTCTGAGCTAGATTGGTTTTTCCTTGGACGCTACACTTGTTTTAATATTACATTGAGCAATTTTATATTAACTTTTGTATCGCAACTGGAGGTATTAAAAAGTTTAAACACTTTCATATTTTTGCAGTCATTACCCTCAACTCAATCATTTCAATAGAAATATCTGACAGTAGTTAATAACTATTATAACCACATATTTTAGTACATCATCAGTAGTTACCATATCAAGACCATTCCAGGGAGATTGAACCCTTGTGACCTTCCCTTTGTAGTCACAGTCATGTCTTCCTCGCACACTACTGTGACCAGTTCGGACAGGAGGGGCTCCATTGCGATGGCTGATCGCAGAGGATCCATTATTGTCGGTGGCGGCGGCGGCAAAATAAGTAGGCCAGAAGAAGAAAAAAAAGAAACTAGTTTCAACTGAAATTGCTTCCCACAGTTTCCAGCATTAGTAGCTGCGAAATTGTTTTTTTTTTCATATGCTTTTTTTTTATTAAACACCATTACTTCTACTTAGTTTCTTAAAACAATATATAGCGCTTGAAACTGGGATTTAACAAGATACAGAGACATAATATTCAATATGTGATTGAGATTATTTTGTTTTTGGCAGAAAAGATTCAAGAAAGTCGTTGGTAAAAAATAAAAGGTTTTTCCTGTATTTTCAACCCTTTCACTACTAAAAGAAATGACCATTATTATTTTTACCCCAGATAAATTTCGGTAATTTTAGCAGCGATGAACAACACGAAAACTGCTTCCATGGCCAAAAGTAGAGTGTCAATTTCCATTTCTAATCGCAGAAGGGGCAGTATCATGCCTGGAGGGGGAGGGGGGATGGTCGGAGACAAGAGTTCCATCCACGTGCATGGGGGACACCACAAGAAGAAACATATTAGAATCATGGATGGAGATGTGGATGTGACACCTCAGCCACTTCTGCAGGTAAATTTCCCCCTTTTCTCCCCTTTTTTGAACAAGTTGCGCCGCGCCCTCTTCTCTATCTTTTTCCTTACTACAAGAGAATCCAAAAATAAGAGTTCTCGAGTCTCGCTCTGAGACGCTTAAAACAGGTTAAATATTAGTCTTATGACGCTCTCTCAAGTGATATTTGTGTGAAAAGGTTCCTTGTTTTTATTTTTGTCTGGGTAATGAGCTCACTTAGAAACGATTTATTTTGATTATATTTTTATTGAGAAGGGTTGTTTGCTAATTTTTTTTTGGTTTGTTTTAAAACTAGAAACAGCTGGGTGGAATGGGAGTGTCAAGCAGCTTATGCCTTCTCCTTTGAGCCATAAAAATCTTAATCACATTTTTGTTCCGACCTCATCACTGGTAAAATTGAACGGAACTATGGCACAGCCTAAATTTTTGCGGTCGATTTTAAGATCCAGGAAAGCTCATTGAGGGTTAAGAGTAATATCATAACAACATCTTGCGTAATATCTTAAGCAGGGGCACAACGTAATATCATGCGTAATATCTTAAGCAGGGGCACAACAGCGGTTCGCCGTGATGAGCTGTACAGCTCGTATGTTGGTCCTATCCCTCGTGGATAAACGATCTTAAACAAATACCATATGGTCGTTATATGGTCGTTATAAAAAGTGGATTTTGGAGCTAATGCTTCTGCAATTTAGCTATAAGCAAATCCTTTTAGCAGATTTTTATCTCTTTTGATCCCCCTCCCACTGCTTATTTTGTTTCTTTTAAAAACTGCGCAAATTGTTTCTTTTGAATTGCTGTAATAAAAAGTATGCAAAGCTCCCAACAAAAATTTTTTTATGTCGCCGAGAAATTCTGTAGAAGTTTTTTTTGAGAGGAGACTGAAAATTACATTGAAGTCCACGTCAATGTCAATGGTTGTGACTTTACTGCAGGTCGATCCCTACATGGCCAAGCAGAATCGTTCGTACATTGGAGGGGGGACTGGAAGTGAGAGTGGGACTGGTCTCATGGGCATGGGTGGACTGAACACCCCCACCGATGGACATTCCCAGATGTCGGCTATGCAACACTCCGCACTTGGGGGGACCATGATGGGAGGTAAGAGGGAAAATCATAGTAGGATCAACGATTCTATTTAAATCTTGAAACTACGACCAAACTGAGCTAATTGTGATCTTAATAAATGCAGATAATTTATTTATGATTTTATTGCTAGATTTATTTGTAAGATGCTTGAAATGGACGAAATGAAAACAGTGTAAAAGAAACATTTGTTCGAAAACTTTTCAAACATTTAAAAAGATTTTGATTCAAGTCGCAACAAAAAACATCAAAAAGGAAAAACATTTCTTGTTTAAAACTAGGCATGACTTTTGGCGCCGCCATGTCCAAGCCGGTGTGGGCGAGTGGGGAGGAGTCCCATCGCTCGTCACGTGACTCAGTGGCCGACGACTACAGCGAGGCGGGAGTGGCCGAACCACAGGCTCTCGGATTAGCCGAAGTGACGACTAAACATGGTGAAGAGATACAGGCACGTCGATATACAATCATAGAAAAGTTCACATTTTTCACAATTTTTTTTTGTTTTACATGAGCAAGTCTCGTGAAAAAAAGACCGCGAGAATGTGCCTTGCTTGCATCAAAAGTTTTTGACGGAGAAAGGTTCAAAGTAAAACTTCTGGATTTTTCCTGCAAGTTATGGGCCCTGAACTTTTATTCTTACTCATTTTGAAAATTCACTATTGTCATAGTTTTACAAAGATCTTTATACTCTTAGGTCAAAAACTAATTGCAACAAAAGTCTAGGCAAGTATTTATAAGCACGTCAACATTCACAAAAAGGTTCTCCTTATTTTAAGTTCATCAAAACTGAATCGAAAGTGTTTTCTGAACACGTCTGTTTTCTGGAAAACTTTATTAACATATCAAAAAACTGCATAACATTTAGAAGTGACGACATGACCAACTTAACTTGATCACCTTTTTTGTTCGAAAGTAATTTAGCCGAAAATGTTAGATAAACATAGGGGCATAACTTCAATCAAATTAGATACTAAACTGTGTTAAAATCTATTTCCATATAGGAGCAAATAACCGAAGAAGACAAGGAAAAGAACGTCGATATCATCTTGACCGAGACTCCGACATTCTGGATTCTCGACATCCCTGGAAAATGCGTCGAAGCAGGAACCGACGAAGTCGAAGTTGTCAAAGAGCAAAACGCGAAGTACCAAAAACTAATCAAAGACCGAGTCGGTAATGATTTATACGCACAACGTGGCATGCAAACGTTTAATAACGGACGCAAAGTCAAACATGCTCAAACTGACAAAGTTTTGACAGCCGATCAATTGTCCATGGCTGCGACATGGGATATGTACGACACATATTTGGACATAGCCGAAGACCAGCAGGAAAAACAGGACGAAGAGCCGGAAATTCTCGGCGGCGAGACGAGTCGTGCAGATTCGCCGACCGGAGGCGACGACGGCACGGCAAGCGTAGCAGGAAGCACAGCGACTTCTAAAGGCGGCGGGTCGTATGTTGAAACAAAAACGGCAACAGGCAACGTTAGTGTTGTCAGAAGCGTGCAAGCTAGTGTTGCCGCTACGAATGAGGAAGGCGTGCCACCGGGTGATAGCATCTTTGCTGGAAGCTCCCTCGGAAACGCGGTTACAATGACTGAGTCAAGTATGATCAACAAAGAATCACCAGAAGAACTTCTAAAACAAATGAGCGATTCTGAATCATTTCTCAAAAACCTGTTCATAATGGAACGAATTGTTGTTCAAAATATATACCAACCAAAACTAGCAATTTACAGAAACTTGCCAGTGTATCCGGATGTCGATGCTTACATAGCGCTGGAATCTGCGGACGAGATAAGCTCATTGAACTATCAAAGAATGAATTCTGAATCATTCAACGCTACTGCAAAGTCTGTTAATTCAACTTCGATTTTGTCGTATGGCCCTCATTTAGAAAAATTGTGGTCCTTTTCTTGCGATTTGACCAAAAATTACACGGTGCTTTGTATGAGCTGGAATAAAAGCAACCCGGACATTTTAGTGGTTGGATACGGACAATCGACCTATAGAGGTCAAAGCGAGGGTCTAGTATGCTGTTGGTCGATAAAAAATATCGAGTACCCCGAACGAGTTTACAAAGTAGAATCGGGCGCCACTTCTGTCGGGTTCTCGGCAAGTCACCCAAATTTACTCGGCGTCGGAACTTACGACGGTTCAGTTTGTGTGTTTGACGTCGGAGTCAAATCTGCGGATCCGGTTCTGGATAACTTTGACAGTCCGGGTAAACATACGGGACCCGTTTGGCATTTGGTCTGGGTGGAAAAAGAAAGGTCATCAGGAGATGATAAAGGTCAAATCCTGGTGTCAATTTCAGCTGATGGTCGAGTTTGCCAATGGTCAATCAAAAAAGGTTTCGAATACTTGGAAGTAATGAAACTCAAGCGGGTTTTCCAGTCGAAGAGTTCCAGCAAATCCACTGGAAGCGAATCGCTTATCAACCGATTTTCATCTGGAATGGGGTTGGATTTCAAGGCTTCAGACAGCAATTTGTACATCGCTGGAACCGAAGACGGAAATATACACAAATGCTCTTGTTCGTATAACGAGCAGTTCCTCTCGACTTATAATGGTCATTCTGGACCAGTTTATAAAGTCACGTGGTCGCCATTTGCCGGGGATATTTTCCTAAGTGCCTCTGCGGACTGGTCGATCAAAGTCTGGCATCAAGACATGACGGAGCCGGTTATAAACATCCAGCCTGCTTTGAAAGCTGTTACGGATATAAACTGGTCGCCTATTTCGTCGACTATTTTCGGTTGCACTACTGAAGATGCGGTTCAAATATTTGACCTTGAGAGTTCGATAATTGACCCTATAGTAACACACCCCGTAGAAAACAAGAAATTAACCGCGTTTCAATTCGCTCACAATTCACCATGTGTTTTATTCGGGGATTCTCAAGGGGAAGTTGCCGTCATGAAAGTTCATAATGTTTTCACGGAGGATCAAGAAAAAATAGCAAGTGGGTGGAGCAAAGATGCAGAACAGGTCAATGACCCCAGGTTGTCCGAAATTGTGGGGTCAACTTTGAATAGAGAAAGTGAAGTGAAAGCTAAAAATGCGCCCAGCGAATCTCAATGACATTCACTATTTTCATGAGCTCAGAATTTCTATCAACCTATATTTTTAACAAATAAAAGTTTTAAGCCAAGCCTCAATTCAGTAGAAAAAGTAGAAAAAGGTCAAGTCAAATTTTTAAACCGTTTGCTAATTTATCGCCAACAATTTTCCGAAATTCTCGGATAATCGAATCTCAAGTTAAGTTGGTTTCCGCGATTCGTAGTTGATCTATTAAAAACTTATCAGGCCTAAGCATAGTCCGCTTCAGTTTTTGCTCCACACAGAGACTCATTTTTTTGCGTCCAGAAATTTCACGTGAAAGCAGGGGCGGATCAGCGGATTTTCTCAAAATATTCGAAGTTTTTGTCGACTTTTTGTTGTTTTAGAAAAATCTGATTGATTTATGAGCTCTACCAAATAACCATATTCACTCTATTTTGACCAAGTTTTTTGCACCGCAATCGATTTTTTTAAAAACAAAGCGGCCAAAAAAGTCGTTTTTTGGCTCTTTTGAGAAACTTTGGCCACAAAATTGCGTTTTTTTTCGGCTCGACTTCACTCCTCAGAATAGGAATATGCTGACTAATGAAAAATGGATGTCCTATTAGTATAAAAAGGAGGAATTTTTGGGTCAGCGGGGGGCGAATTCCTGAGGGGGGGGATGGAGGGAAATCAGAACACCTGGACAGCAAAAGAAGACGTCAGGCTTGCAGAAAAAAAAGCAGAAGTTCTCATGAACTGAGGATGTTCTGGGATGCAAAAATAAAAACAAAGCATTTGTTCCGAATGACGGCTAAAATCTTCATACCATTGATGCGGTAAAGAAAAAGATTATTATTTGTAGAATTTGAGAGTTGGTGACTCTGTAAATTCGACTAATTGCAAATTCGATTTAGATAGCATCACCTCGGATTTGTAAAAGGGACAAAAATGTATGATAAGCTAGTTTATCAGCTCAATGGTTTAGTTTTTAGCCTAAAGTAAAAAATGAGAACAATCAAAAAGTGGACTTTTTCTCTAGGTTATAATTTGGGATTAGGATCGCTAAGAAAACTTGGTTGCCTTAGCACTAAATGGCCGTCGCTTAAGCCAGTTGGCCCAAGTAAACAAACATTTTCAGGGCTCGGACGGTGCATATTCGGTCAGAAAGTGACAACAGTCCTTTCCACAGTTATCCAAAAAAGAGGGAAAACTGTAAGAAACTGTAACATCCTGGTCTTTGCTTTGATCGTAGATAACTTCCCGAAAAAAATTAATAGGACAAAAACGCTTCAAATTCGGAATTGAAAATTTTTCATTCCGGTGGAAACTTTCCGATACCTTGTAACTTTGGGTTATGATAGGTGGTGACAAGTTAAAACATGTATTATAAATTGAGCCAACTCCGTGAGTGGGACCAGAAGTTTCTCTTTTTTTTTGGAAAAACACGACTTTTCCAGGAAATACGTTATTTACGGAAAATGCTGAAGGAGGGCGTATTGGTTTTATGGCGGCAATTAACCTAAGACACCCATTCCGAAAAAAAAACTTTTGAAAAAACCGCCCCTCTTTATGTTCTCGGTGTTTCGTTTCCCGGCAAAAAAGATTAAGGACTGAAGTCAAAAAACATCCAAATTTTGACAATGTTGCCCAAAATTGTATAGAAAACCCTTGAAATTTTTGCGGAAAGCTGCCCGTTCCCTAGTGTTGCAATGCAAATGTAGAATAAAACAAGAGTATAGATGCATATAAAATAAGCACAGTTGGCCAAGCGGACTAAGACAAAGTAAGCTAACGCCGATTATATGTGTGAAATAACAGTTGACGTATGTTCGAGTCCCCCACCTGCCCATGTATTAATATACTAAAAACGGGGGTTACATCCTATTTTAACTGTTTTTTGGTTCTAATTCGGTTCAGCCTTGATTAAGGTTGACCGCCAAAAAGAGCAATTTGTCTCAAGGACATTACCGACCGGTTCTTGTGGCTAGCTTGCGCCGATTTGTACCAAAAACTGACAGAGGCTAAAAATGTTGTATGATGTCCTGATCAATAGAAAAATACCGAAATTTATCTATTGCCTGAGTTATTTACCGATAAATATCTCTTATTAATTTACGAATTCGGATTCATTTATTTTCGTTTGGAGATTAGAGCGGCCACATTTTGGCGCCCCACAAGGGACCTTCGAATATTCTAGCAAACCTTCAGGTCCAGTGGAGTATTCCAGCCGAGTATTCCTTCAGGCCAACCGAGTATTCTAGCAAACCTTCAGGTCCAGTCGAGTATTCCAGCCGAGTATTCCTTCAGGCCAATCGAGTTTTCCAGCAAACCTTCAGGTCTATTATCCCAGCCTTCTGGTCCACAAGGGACTTGACGAAGACGCGAAGTTGGTCGACACGAGCTTCACCGAGGAACACAAGTTGGCAGCCAGCCAATAGAATTGGCACTTGGCAGAGTTGTTTCTCGGACAGTTTCCCCGACTCGAATACCCATTTGGCCGAGTGTACATGGCCAAAACTTGAAGTGTGCAGTTGGACGAGGAGCCTGTAAGCAGACAGGTGAGAGAGCAGACTGGTGGAAAAGAGGCCTGTTCAGGTGTCCTGATTGCTGATTGTGGACTTTTGAGCTGTGTTTTCTCGACACCCGAAGTTTTTGGATTTTTTCCCGGTGTCGCCAATCTCCAATTAAAAGCTGTAAGACGTTTCCAAAACTTTCAAAACTCTCCATTCGTGCTTTAAATTTATATACGATGTCATATATGCTAGAAATTTTCCCGCAAGCTAGCCCTCGGTAATTTTTCTCAATACCCAAACTTTTTGGACAGTTCCGTTGAACTGAAATATCTTACAGTCGGTACATAGACAAACTGACTTGACATTTTTTCTCGATACCAAAAATTTTTGGATATACGTGAACGGAATATTAATCAGTGAAATCGGAACATAGACAAGAGGTACTGGACTAGTTTTTTGGATTGGTTTATGGCTCGAACCTGCTGACCAAAATTTACTGAAAAATTTTGTGAAAAAAGTAAAAAATTAACAAAAAATCCTCAAAACGTCTCCAGAATTCTGCGAAACTGTGCTGTAAGATGACACCAACTTTATGTTAAGTGGTCTGGTAGCGAAATATCAGGCAAATTAAGTTGAGTTTTTTCATCCTCAGGTTTCTTCCGCGTGTGTTGTTGGAACTTAACCAATTTGCCTGATACCCCACCCACCATTGGTGAAATTGAAAGCCAGTGCGCTTCAAATAAAACAAAGCCGTTTCAGCCCGTCCCATTATTGACTTCGTTGCGTGACAGTAAAGATAAGTGGTCAGGTAGGGTGATATTAAGTGAGTTAAGTTGAATTCTTTCATCCTCGGGTTTACTCCGTGTGTGTTGTTGGAGTTCAACCGACCTACTTAATTTTCCAACCCCATTGGTACTTAAGCGTAACGAAGCCGTCGCATAGGTCCCCTAAGTGTATGGTATTCATTCTAGGAGCTAGTTCTTTGGATCACGCGCTCCGAAAACTTCCCGCTCCGTCCCAGAAGCGCGTCAAAGATACTTGCTTTACGAAGCCAGGTTTAAGTTTGAACTTTAACGCTAGGGACTCTCAGAAAACAATACAGTACTACCTTCATCATTACTTGTCGCACCGTAACGACCTTGTAATTTGGCACGACGCCATTAATAGCTCGATAAGAAGGCACCGCAGCAACAATAACCGCAAGCTGAGTAGTGAGCAACTTGTCAATTTGTTATTAAGGAATAGGACAAACATTTGTGCGATCGTATACTGTAGACGGAACGGAACCGAGGATATAGAGGAAAGTTTAGGTTCAACAGGTATTCTCGTTCTCAACGTCGTTAAAGACTTTATCTCTAAGCGTAAGGCTAAGGACCAGGTACTAATTGAGAAGTACAAAGAGCTTCACCAGCCTCCTTCCCTTGAGTTAAGGACTCTCCTCTTTCTAAGGCGTTATAGCGCTAATCTTAACATCCTTAAGACCCCTCAAAGCTCGGAAAGCTATAAGAAATAGGCTTCAGGTAGAAGCTTTGAGACGTCAAGTTCCCCCGTCTTGTAAGCTAATGTTGATTTACTAATGCAAATTTAATTACGTACCAAAACAGTATCTCATTTTATTGATTGTTTTCTATAAGTGAGCATCCGTAGAATATTGTCAATTTGTGAAAAACATGGACAAAAAATTCCAAAGTAAGATACGCAAGTTATTCGAAACCCGTCTAAATCTAGAAAATGAGCTGCTTAAAGGTCACTCATTATTACTTGAGTACATTGAGAATAATAGTCGCACTACAAAAATTGATAATGCTGTTTACAAATGTAAAATTGCGTTGGAAAAAGCTGTCGACGTCAATGAGCAATTAATTAGGTTAGCGGGAAAAACGGAAAATCCTGAAAAAATTATTGCTCAGCAAGACCTTTGGCTTAAGAAAGTAACCGAAATGAACGATAAAGTAATGCACGAAGCTCAGAGTTACAAGATGAGCATTGAACCTTCGTCATTTCCAGCAGCCGACATTACAGGGAGCAAGGGATTTTTACAACAAACTAGGTCTGAGACATCCTCACGCTCGCACAAAACAAGTGACTCAGCAGCACGAATATCTGAAAACAGGTCTAAGGTCTCTAATAAGTCTAAGGATAGTAGAAAGCTTGACTCACATAAGTCTGATAAATCTGCTTCCACTCGTCATACGTCGACTGTTCGCACTATGTCATCAAGTGAGAAACGGCATGAGTTAGCTTTAGTAAAACGACGCCATGAGGAGCTGTAAAGGCAGTATCAAGTATCTTTAAGACTTAAAGAGCAAGAGAACCGTCTTAAGTTCGAACAAAGTCAGCTGGAACTAGAGCAATTGGCTGAAAATCATAAAATGCAACTAATTGAAATGGAATTGAAAGCGTTTGAACTTGAGGACAGTTCATCTGAGGTTAGCGAGAAGGTAGCGGAAAGTAACTTGACAGGAGTAAGTCAACCTATTTCAAAGGTAGCAACCGATCGAACTAATGATTCGGTAGACTCTGTTAGTTCACAAGCATCTCCCGACGTTGCTAGTGCGCCAGGTTTGCAGGCCTTCACTCATGTACCCATTTCGTC